AGCAGCTGGATGTGGATCTGTTCAAACACACACAGCAAACGTGAACTGAAAGGTCTTCGAGGGGCCTGCGAGGAAATAAATTCTTTCATGGCACAGTTATAAATTACAACCATCCTTTGCCGAAAAAACACGTTCTGGTCAAGTCTTGAATATAACGTGAATCACTTGCGATGTCTCAGTTGATTTGAAGGATTCTCTGCTATTAACACACCAAATATTGGCTCAATATCTATTAAAACCAATGAGCCACAGCCTTTATTTTTGTGCAGAATAAGGTTTATTAGCTCTGGAAGCCATCTTGACTCCAGAAGTTAATCATTCATCCATTGTCTTTTACCTGCTTCTTCATTTTCGGGTCATGGGGGTCACTGGTGCCCATATCCATCTAGTCACTGTTCGAGAGATGGATCATCACAGGGACACAGAGAGAAACAACCATTCAGTCTCTCACTCACACCTAGGGGCAAGTTAGTTACCAATCAGCCTAACATGCATGTTTTTGGTCTGTGAGAGGAAACCGGAGTACCCGGAGAAAACCCACGCATGCACAGAGAGAACATGCAAACTCCACCCAGAATGGAGCCCCGGACGGGATTTGATATATCGACCTTCTCGCCGAGAGGCGGCAGCTCTTCCAACTGCACCACCGCGTCTATAAGTTAATCAGTTGTGGATATACAGCTAATAATTACTTTGAGTTTAGTTGAAACTCATGAGATATTTTGCTAACAAGCAGGCTTGGGTGGCATGGCAGTACAATTGTCACCTCTCGGCCAGAAGGTTGCCGGATCAAATCCCAGCCGTGGACCTTTCTGGGTGGAGTTTGCATGTTCTCTGCGTGCATGCGTGGGTTTTCTCCGGGTACTCCGGTTTCCTCCTACAGACCAAAAACATGCATGTTAGACTGATTGCTAACTCTAAATTGTACCTAGGAGTGAGAGAGTGAATGGTTTGTCGATGTGTCCCTGTGATGGACTGGAGACCTGTGCAGGGTGTCCCCCGCCCCTCTCATAGAGTCTGCAGGACATGGTCCTGTGACCCCCGTGACCCAGAAAAAAAGAAGTGCACTTTGCTACAACCAAACCAAAATGTAGCTTAAGATCTGTACTTCTGACTGAGTCGTATTATCGTGTTGGTTAAAAACACGTAGGTGTGGCGGTCATCTTGAGCAGTCATCTCAGAAGTTCCCTCAGTTGTAGATGTACAGCCAGTGATTCTCAAAGTTCTGATAAAACACGTTCAGTGATTCATGAGCATTTTTCTGCAAACTGTAGACAAAAAACAGACACATTGTTGCTTTATCGCCTTGGGCGGCTGCCGGTAATTATGCATAATAATGTAGCAAATAATAGGAGAACGTACGTTTTTAGAGTGCCAAGTAGAAGAAGAACAAGCAGATGTGCAGGAACTTTATTTCAGAAGCTGTTGAAAGAGAACGACTCGTTATGATGGCTGCTTCATGTCATATTCATGTCTCATCAAGTCGTTTCTTCTGGAGAGGTAAAAATTCATTCACTTGAAGGCACTAATGAGAGAAATACTGAAGAACCCCTCTTTTTCTTTTCCTTCGGCAAAAGTGGGACATTGTTTCTGTTGACTTGTTTTTTTATGACAGGAAATGTGTCTCTGTTAACTGCAATAATCACGACTACGAGTCCAATTTGTGTCTAATTGTCGTAAACATGCAAAGTCGCTGTGGATCTTTAATAATCTAGCCAGCTGCCTTTACAAAAGCTAAAATAAACTTTTTGCCAATCTTTGATTCCGTATCCAATCAGATTAATTATACAGCGGCTGTTTCAACTCCCCAAGAGACTTGAGCTTTATTTACAGGGACTTGGTCTCGGTCTTCAACTTTTACTGCCACCATTGGTCGTGTTGCACATCTCTTTCAGTTGTTACTCGTTTGTTCTTGCTGAAGACCAGGAGCACAAACTGAAGTAGCAGCCGCCACAAAGAAAGTGTTTCTGACTGCTGATAAACTCGGAGAGGCAAAAAGTAAAACAGGAAATGGCAGATTCCCTTCACAGTTGGATATTTTTGAACCATCTGTGGAGAAGCTCTCCCACAAACTGAACTCGGCAGCAGATTGTAGTCGGACAAGAGAGTCTGACAAAGTGAATGTATGGGATGGAAATGGGCTCAAAGGAACACGTTCTCACTTTTCTTTACTCGTCAAACCTGGTAATTTGTCCTGCTTTGAGATGCTTTTTGAGCCCGATAGCTAGGGATAGCCCAGTTCATAGTTTTGTCCCAGATATCAGTCAGCCATTAACAAAAGACTCTTTTCAATATAGTCTCAATTTGACACTTGCATTATTTAGCTTTTGGGCAGCCCATTGTTTGATGGCCGATGTTTGATGGCCTCCACTTGCCATCAGTCTGTTGTTCTTTGACTGTCATTTGATTGTTGCCTGATGGACTGCTGTTCATTGACCATTGCTGTTAGGAGGCAAGTTTCTGATTTGTGCTCCTTTTGAATTTTAAAATGCTTTCATACCACAGACGCATCGGAGATTGGACACTGCAACGTCTGCCAGATTATGACTGCTGTGCAGCAGTAATAAGTTATTATTACTTATTAGGGTCCTATTTAAACATAACCTCACATGACAAACCATTGTCTGATGGCACCAAAGTTCATGCTCAATAATCCAGGTATTTGCTATGCTATTTGGTATCCAGGACTTTATTGTCCATAACATTCCATGAGATGAGATTTATCTTTGACATCTGGCTCATACATATAAAACAACAGGAGTTAAAAATACAATAAGCTTTGCTAACCCAGTAAAAACATTCTAACGTACACAATACATCAAAAATATAATTAAAACTCCCATCAGACAATCCAGCAATGTTCAGTCAAGTCATATGGACGGTTTCTTTTTTTGTGCTGAGACGTTTGGCCCTCCATCCAGAAGGCTTCATCAGTCTGAAGAAACACTTAAAAAAAACTGCTTCTCCCCCAACAGCTTACTCCAAAGTGGGAAAAAAAACAGTTATGTTGGTGCTCAGATGGTCTCTGGGGCACGCCCTCTCCTCTGGTGCTCACCCTCTTCCTCATCGACAGTCATGTCAAACTGGTTCAAAACAGGTATTTTGAACCAGTTTGACATGACTGTTGATGAGGAAGAGAACGTACCCCAGAGACCATCTTAGCACCAACAGAACTGTTTTTTTTCCCATTTTGGAGTAAGCTGTTGGGGAAGAAGCAGTTTTGTTTGGTGTTTCCTCAGACTGATGAAGCCTTCTGGATGGAGGGTGAAACATCTCAACACAAAAAAAGAAACCGTCCATATGACTTGACTGAACATTGTTGGATTGTCTGATGGGATTTTTTATTATATTTTTAATGTATTGTGTACGTTAGGATGTTTTTACTGGGCTAGCAAAGCTTATTGTATTTTTAACTCCTGTTGTTTTATATGTATGAGCCAGATGTCAAAGATAAATCTCATCTCATGGAATGTTAATACTGCAGCATGGTGTAAAACCATGAACAGTAGGTCAACAAAGATTGGTAGAGGAGTGTGGCAACCATTCCAATACAATCAATGAAAAATGCCTTGATCAGTCTATTCGGTGTATTTGATATTGATCAGATTGGGACATCCGTAGAAAAGTTTAATTTCAGACCGTTCACCACTGGGAACAAAACAGAACCATTTAAGAGTTAAACTGTTCCTGTAAATTGTAGTAATCAGTTTGTTAATATACAGAAAAAGCAATGTTAAAAAAAATACACTACAGACATCTGATATTGTATTTTATTTGAGAAAACACTGATCTTATAGTTGAGTTAAATGTATACAAGTTGTCATGCAGGTCATTTTGAGCTCCAAGAAGGCAACATCAGTCGGTGCAGATATTTATTCCCCCCAAAATAACTCATTTTGAAATGATACACAACCAAATACAACTTCTTTACCATCGTTAGGTTTAAAATTTATTTAATTTATTAAATTTGATTATACTTGTCTCTGGTTTATCACACAAGTGTAAAACTGTATATATTTATTTTATTTTGCAGTTATAGTTTAAAGTTAATGAGCAAATGCTGGCAGCCGAATCAGAAAACATTTTGGAGACACCATAATCTCTTCCATTTTGTGCTCAGTTGATAACGTAAAAGCATTTCTGATCAACTAATACCTCAAATTATTTAATCAAAAGCCTAAAAGCAACACTGAGCATTTAAAGCACTTTGGTTTTACATTTTAGACACCAAATGACTTACTCAAAAAACTGTGCAGATGTTACACTGTTCATGAGAGAAGAAATGACTTTAGAAGCTGGAGAACCAATTAAGTCATTTCATGGTAATTCATATTTTATATCAAACCAATTAAGTAATTTGAACCCAAAACAGATCAGAATAATGGCGTGTCATAAACATGAATTATTAATTAGCGGGAATTGCTTATCAGAACGCTTTCTTTGATCATCTACTAGGCTTTATTGATGCTTTTTTAGATGTCGATATGAAGGAAGTGGTGCAATCTGGTGTGTTTACGTTGGAGTTAATGCTAATGGTGACAATTAGCTGTAATCTCCCAGTTCAGGCAATATCAATCTTAGTTTTCACTTTCTTCAGGATTGCTGATGAGTGTTTGCAAAAAAGCCTGGACGATGAACACAAAGACTTCTCCACATGACAGAAAAGTAAACTTTTCTTTTAAATTATCATTTTCTAGTCCAGATTGAGAAACGATGGATTTCTTACTAAAACTTTCTTGTTTTTCTGTTTGACTGCTCTTGTGTAACGACATCCCCATTGTACTCAAAGTAATCCAGCAGTCCTAGATTTCGTTCATTTCGGGCCTGCATTCATCCACTTCCCTGCTTTTTAAATATTTGCAAATGAAACCCAGACCCCGTTCCAAGGTGCAACAAGTGGGGATATCAGATCAAAGCGCTCGTAAGAAAACTGCATTAATCAAGAAATATTTTCAGGCCACCTCGAGCCCCGGGGATTCCTTTTTGGATCGTTAACATCTTTCGCCCCACTTATGAACCGTTTCTCAGATGTTTCGTGTCTGAGCTCGATTTGATCCCCGGTTTTCTGTGAAAGGGAAGTCTCCGTAAGGAATCACGTCCTGCAAAGGAACAGGTTCGGGTCTGTGGCCTGGTTCGCGCCTCAGAGAGGCAGCCGATGGCATTCTCTCAGCAGCATGACGAAAATACAACTGCAAGGCTGTGATAAGTCAAAAGGACAGCAGTGTTTTTTTTCTTTGTCTTTTGGGCCCGTTAGTGCTCTCATTTAGCCATTTTCCCCAGGCCCGACAGACATTTTGGAGGATTTCCTCCATGGCGGTTGTTGCGCCCCTTCCACCTATAGTCTTAGTAGTTGTATTTTCCTGCTTCTGTTACTGATGATGTGGCTGTATTTGGCAGAAAAAGTGGCTTTGGCGGGACTTGCGGTTTTAGCGACACAGTTCTCCGTACAACCGCCGCCCGTTGCACGTGAGGCCCTTCGCTGTAACTGTGCTGCCGTGTGAGGCAGGTGCTGGCGATTGATGCTCTCTGGCTCTCGTTGTTGTTGCTGGTGTTTGTGTTGGCCATCGCAGTGGCGCCTGGGGGGCCGTTGCTGCTGCTGTTGGTGTTCATCCTGGCCAGAAAGTGTGCGTGTGTCCCCCGCTGGTTGAAGCTGTGATGGCGGGGGACAGCTCCGCCCGACGCGCCCATCTTGATGAGGGAGTGGCGCTGAGATTGATGACGTGCCACAGAGACTCCGCCCCCTTCGGGTCGCTCCGGGATCACCTGCTGCTGGAGGGGAGTCGAGGAAGAGGAGGATGACGACGAAGGGATGGAGGTGGAGGAGGTGGGGTTGTTGGAGGACGAGGAGGATGAAGACGAGGATGTGGCAGAGGAGGAGGTGGAGTTTTGAGGAGCTGCGTCCAGATGTTTGGGGAGGCCGTCCCTCGGCAGCGTGCAGGTGCTGTAGTAAGAAGTGGATTCTGTTTCTGGGATCGGCTGCTGGTGATGGTGACTGCTGCCATTGCTGTTGTGGTGGTTGCTATGGTGATGGCTGTGGTTGTAGTGGTGCGTGCGCGTCTGGCTGTGGTGATTGTTATGATGGTGGGGGTTATGGTGACTATGATGATGTCCTCCAGAGGTCGACGGTCCAGGAAACAGAGAGGACGAGGAGGTGGACGTGAGGACCTTGATGCCCCCGGTTCCCGACGCGCTGACCTCGTGGATGTGTTTGAGCAGCTCGTCCAGCGCCGACACATCCACCACTGTCTGGGGCAGGGACTGCTGGGAGTGGTGATGTGAAACTCCACTGCCTCCTCCTCCTGCCGCTGCTGCATGCTCATCGTTTGAGATCCTCCTCTCCTCAGGGAGGTGCAACGAGGTCGAAGAGGCACCTGCTCCGTGGGCTGCTCCGTTGCTCAAACTGTTGCCATTTTGATGAGAAAAGGGAAACACTTGCGGACTTAAAGAGTTCCCCACCACAGCCATGAAACCCTGAGTGGACGCCGAGCAGCTGGGCCCTGACTTGTTCTCCTTGGCATTGTTGCAGTTTTGGTTTTTCTCGTACTGATGATGCCTCAGGGCCCTCATACTCTTAATGGGAAGCTCCGGGGTGGAGTCAGGCGTCGGCAGGCCAGAGAGCTCTCCATCACCCTGAGACAGAGACTAAACAAAGGTTAGACCCACGACCTTTAGGATTTTTTTTTATTTTTTTTAACAAACTAGAAACATACAACTTATCATATATTCTTAATAACACTATAAACTAATAAGGATACAGTAATCCCTCACCACTTCGCGGTTCGATTTTTGCGGACTCGCTCTTTCACGGTTTTTCAAAGTAACATTGTACACGGCACACAAATGTCAGCTTTAATATTACTCACGTGACTGGGACTATAGAGTAAAAAGTTAACAAATAATAAATACTTTGGACAGATGCCGCCATTTTGTAGTTTCTCTCAATAAGCTTACACTGCATTGCCAATCAAAATTAATACATTTCCCAGAAGCCTCATTGTCCTCTGCTAAAATGGATGGAAAGTTATGATCCAATCTAAAAAAGTTTGGTCCTTAGTCATAGTGACATTGGTGTCCAACAGATGCAGAGAGCCGCACAGAACCGACCGGGAACTGGACCAGAACTGGACCTCCAGACTCATCGGTGAATTTGAGTGCCGCCCGCCGGCCCATGAGGCCTACCGAGTGGGGAGGTGCTGCCTGGAGGTCTGGCGTTCTCTCCGGAGCCCACCGTGACTTTTTAAATCCAGATTTCTCTGGATTATTTGGACTCTTTTCGGGACCATTGTGTGATTTTTGTGCTGGCTCGCCAAAGGTCTGGTTCTCTCCAAGCGCCTGGTGTGCAACGGCTGCAGAGAGCCGAGCAGAACTCGACCAGAACTGGACCAAGGCTGGTGAGTTCCCATACAACATTTTGCAGTAGCTACTGTAAAGTACATACCATATTTTTCGAACTATAAAGTGCACCAGATTGTAAGGCGCAATATAAATGAACAGGTCTGTTTTCATATATAAGGCGAACCGGATTATAAATGGACTGTACTTATATAGCACCTTTCTATCTTATCAAGATATTCAAAAGTGCTTTAAACTACAATCTGTGTCTTCATTTATCCATTCATACAACACTCTACTAGATCTGTACAAAGCTAATTGAACAAATCATTCTAAAGAGACTAATCAGTGCTTTATCACATTCGTACACTGAGGGGACAAACATTGGAGGTAATGAGGGGTTCAGCGTCTTGCCCAGGGACACTTCGACATGTGACTGCTGGTGGAGTCAAACCCCCAACTCTTGCATTGGAGGACGACCGCTCTAACCACTCAGCCACAGCCGCACTATAAGGCGCGTTAAGCGAAACAAAACGGTCAGATCAGTCAAACTTTATTCAACTCATTCACAATAACTCATCATTGTTCAGTTGTACCACATAAAATTGGTTCGAGCTCAGTAAGCACAACCAGAATTAATACATAAGGTGCTTATAAGGCTCAGTGTCGATTTTTGAGAAAATTAAAGGATTTTAAGTATGCCTTATAGTCCAAAAATTCGGTACATGTATGTTGTTAAAATGACGTAAGTTTAAGAGTCTAGAACATTGCAAGAGTGTGGGAAGGAATTCTAAAGCCTTAAAATATATTTAAATACCAAAATAGATTTAACGTCCCTACTTCGTGGATTTTCACTTAATGCTGGGGTGTCTGGAATGTAAACCCCCCCCCCCCCCCCCGGCAGTAAATGAGGGACTACTGTACTTTTAAGCTAACAGTGAAGCAGATTCACCCAACTCATTGCCTCAAGTTCTCCTACCTGGGAGAGGTTGAGGTCAGGGTCTCCCACCTGCAGACCCTGGTGTCTGGGGGTGTGCAGATGGGGCTCAGCGCGCCCGTTGGGGATGAAGGAGCTGTACATTTTGGGCGTCGATACATCCAGCTTTTCGTCCTGGAAGAAAACCAGATAGAGGTGATATTTAATGGCTCCAAACAGAGTAACGAGGGACTTACATGAACATACTTTTCAGCAAAAAGGTCAAAGGTCAACAGCAGCTCAGCGACTATTTTATTTAAATTTTTTTTGCTGAAGGACATTTGAAAAAAGGATGGACTTATAATGAAACAGTTAGTTGTAATGACTGAATAAAACACCAAGGTGAAGCTTATTATGCGTTCCCTCAGGGTGAAGGGGAGGAAGAAGATGAATATTAAAGCCATTGCTTCTCGAAACTCCGGCAGTTACGTTGCATCGCCTCGGATGTTTCTTGGAAGCTGCAGAAATCTTCTGCAAATGCATGAAAAATGTGTTTTTTCGTTTAAAGTCGACTTCACTCGACAGGCGTCATCTAAATGTTCAAAGCGACGGTGTGCTTTTGAATTTATTTAATATTTTACAAGTTTAATCGTTTTTAGGTTGAGCTTTTTTCCCCACCAAGAGAAAGGCTAAATGCTAAAATCACAAGTTGATGAATAAAACATTGTGACTTAATGTTAATATGCATAAATTCCAATAACTAACATGAACTTTTCATAAAGAGGTCTTGGTTAAAAAAGTTTGAATACATTTTCAGTGTTTGAATTGAACCATACAACACAAATATAGTTCTTTTTTTATACATATATATAAATGTTTTAACCGAGCAACTCTTTAAAGAGCAGATTTTAGTATTTTTGCATGTGATCTGTGTGCACCATCCACCGACCTTCGGCTGTCCTTCCAGCAGCCCGTTCAGCTTGGCGAGGGATCGCAGCGACAGCGCGTGAGGCAGCGACGCCTCGGGATCTTTTCCCAACCTCTTTGCCCGGTGGTCGGCGCTGCGGCTGCAGTAACACGACACCAGGAAACCAGACAAGATGGCCCCCAGAAGAAATGCCACCAGCACACAGGCAATCAGCAAAGTGTAGTGGACGTTAGCGGCGGTACGCTGGTCTGTTTCAGGGAGATGACGAATGCCTGGAAAACAGGAGAGAAAATTGAAAGTGCCTTTTCATCTTAAGTTTTTAGGACAGGGGTGTCCAATTCTGGTCATCAAGGGCCACCATCCTGCATGTTTTACTTGTCTGCCTGCGCCAGAACCTGACTCAGTGGATGAATTAACCTTTTCATGCTCTGCAGAAGCCTGTTAATCACCCATTCATTCAAATTAGGCGTGCTGGAGCAGAGGAGCATCTAAAAGATGCAGGATAGTGGCCCTCAAGGACCAAGATTGGACAATCATGTTGTAGGAAAATGTGCATGTTATTCATAGACCTTTACCAGTACTTGGTCTGAATAAAAACACTGAAACCATACCTTGAAATTATTATTATTATTACTTTTTTAATTAAATATGACGCACATTAATTTCAGAAATAAGCTAAATAGTCTTCTGCATTTTTTGATACTTCATGAGAACATTACAGTTTCCCCTGCCATTATCCAAGAGGGCACCTCGACCTGTCAAATAAACCGAACAACAACCCCCCACCCCCTGTACACCCAAAAATAGCAAAATATAAAGTACAAAAAGAAACAGTAAATAAGATATACACTAAGACATAAGCTAAACAAGTGCCAAAAGATACGCTGAAAGATTTAAGATATGTGCTAAACACTAAACACATGGCATAGCAGCAGCCTGAACATGAGTCTGTGGTGAACAGATAGGTATGAGATAATCAGCAGCACAGATAAGTCACATATGACCAATTAAAGTGGCATTATAGTGATTTTGTTTTCTTACAGTAGATGTATTTCTTTTTCCACTTTGAGTGCCTTGTTTTTGTATTTTTGTTGCACGCTTTGGTATTTCTTGTTGTTTTGGCGAGTCAAGACGGTTCTTCTCATCCTCAGCATTTCTTTGCATTGTTGACCTTGTGTTGATCTGCATATGACATAAACCTAAACCAGTGGACAAGCGCCCTGCCCAGTTACAAGGCGTTTCCTAGCGTTCAGAGTTAGACAGGATCTATTTCTGAAAAAGAAACCCAGTTTAACTTTCAGTTTCTTTACCAAGTTGTTGACATGATGCTTAAAAGAGAGATGTGCATCGACCAAGATACCCAAGTATTTGTAAGAATGGACAAACTCAATGGGAACACCATTTGAGGATAACACAGAAGTGCTGGAACTGACTTACTGTTTGAAAACAACATCCCTTTGGTTTCGTCAGCATTTAGCACCAGTTTGAGACAAAACAAATGTGACTGGATGATGTTGAATGCAGACCGTAAAAGTTGGAAAACCTTAGCAACTGTTGTAGCTCGACAAAAAACTGTATCATCAGCATACAGTAGAAATGTAAGAATGCATCAAGAATGATCTGACCTACATTACGTATATAGATTGTGAAGAGGGTGGGTCCCAGGACTGAACCTTGTGGTACACCGTTGTTAACAGTTAGATAACTATGTAGGGGAAAACACTTGCACTCGGTATATTTAAATACGAATATAACTAATTACAGTAGATGATGATAATGGGGGGAAAAAAAAAAGGTATTGTGATAAAAGTACAATGATAAATGTACAAATGTTCCAGTCTGAACCACATGTAGTCAGTTCACTAGATCATAAACCCATAAAAGAAACATTGTACATGCAGGAATTGCTAAATAAATTAATCCTCTAACTCAAGCTCAGACAAGAAGAAAATTATTCAATTTAACAATTTAGACCCAAAAATTATTATCACATTTACTTATTTATCTCCAGATGTCATCTTCAAGCATTGTGGAACTAAAAAAAAAAATAGTTTATATTTTTCTTCAGTATATATACCAAAATCTTTATAGGTACCATATACCTCTTGTAAATGAGTTCTCGAGGCTCAGTGGGAACTAACCTGTATAAATAAAGGTTGAATGAATAAAAAATTATTGACTTTATACAAATCTCATCTTCAATGTGCATTATTATAACACAACTCAGTCTTTAAGATTATAATCTTTAATAATGTCTGTTTCCTTGAGTCAAAGCCCATCAGGCCTTTTTCCTCCATGCATAATCACATATTGATGTGGTGTGTGTACACAAAGTGAAATCAGATCAGCAGGAGTTTTTTGGCTGGATGGGTAAATATTTTGCTGACAGCAAGTTGACAATACGTTTGAAGAGGAGGGGGAAACTAATGGATGAGAGTTTAAAACAAGGTGAACGGGAGAAAGACGAAAGAGTGAAAGACAGGAAGTGGGACGAGGCTTAATGAGGCGCTTTACAGGTGAGAAATCCTCATGACAGACGAGAGGAGAAGACAAGGAGGACATAAAGGTGAGATTTGACATCTGGAGAGGAGAAAAGAAAAGGAAGTGATGAGCTGATTTAAAGGAGAAAGATGACGAGGCTGACAAAAGGATGAAGGTATGATGGGAGAAGGAAAGGAGGATGTGGAGGAACAGAGATGAAAGAGGTTTTGCTTGGCAGCGTTCACCTCATCAGGTTCAGGTACACCATCAAAGCCTCATGGATACAATGACTCATCAGTCTGTCCAGCAGCAGTGACGCATGAAACCCCACGCTGCGTTCAGGGGAGGAGAAGAGGGAGCCGCTCTCCACTAATCAATACTTTGATGCACAGATTTGAACAGTCGCCACATCTGGACTAAACACAAGGATAAATTCATAGTTTGACAAAGATGTGACTGTTGCTGCAGAGACTTCACCCAAAACTACTAAAAAGATTAAAAAAAAAAAAAAGTTTAATGCATAAACACTAATTATTTTTATAATGAGGTGACTCAGAACCAACTATGTGATTTTTAAAAATTTTTTCTGATCATAAATCATTTGTTTAGTTATTCTGGCTGCCAAATGAAAAAAATAAAATGAAAGCTTCAAGTGTTGTACATTTGAATCCATAATAAGAACTGCAGATGTGCAATTAATATTTGTTCAAGTCTGACAATAAAAAAAGAAAAGTGTAGATTTCAAGATTAAAATCTGCAGCCTTATGACTTCCATATTTAGTGCTGAACGTTTAATTTATATACAGTAGTTCTTCGCTTATCGCGGGAAAAAAACGCAAAGTAGGAATAGTAGTACAATTAGTAAGTAGTAGTTTATTATATAAAGGCATTTTAAACCCTTCCAACACACTTGCAATATTTTAAACGATGTTTCTAAACTCTAACCGCTCTAAAATAGCACAGACTGTCATGATTTCAGCTCCCTGATTCTGCTCTTGGCCACGCCCACTTCTCCGCTCTGCACGGAGAACAGCTGATCAGCTGCAGCAGGAAGTTTATCCTGCAGCATGGGCTGCACAAATGGACAAGAGGTGATTAATTATTTTTTTATTATAATTAATTTAAAATAAGAATTCCATGCCGATTGCGCGGCTCATGCATCAATCAGCCAATTGTGTGTCCTGTCCAATCTTATTTTGAAAAACCACGATAGGGCAAGTCCACGATAAACGAACCGCCAAGTAGTGAGGGACTACTGTAGTGTTACCACTGAATGAATCATGAGTAAATGCTTCAGTTTTACAACATAAATCTGTTCCATTTATATCCATCCATTCATCATCTTTACCCAATGTTTCCTTATCAGGTTGCAGGGTCAATGTTGTCCATATTCAGCAGTCACTGTGTGAGGGGGGGGGGGGACACACCCTGGACAGATCTCCAGTCCATCACAGGGACACAGAGACAAACAAGAAACAACCATTCACTCTCTCACGCACACATAAAGACAATTTAGTGTTACCAATCAGACTAACATGCATGTTTTTGGTCTGTGAGAGGAAACCGGAGTACCAGGAGAAAATACACGCATGCACGGAGAGAACAAGCAAACTCCACCCAGACAGGCCCCTGGCTGGGATTCGATCCGACAACCTTCTCACTGAAGCAGCAGCTCTACCAACGGAGCCACCGTGTCACCCTTGTTCAATTATATTAATTTCTGAAATATTTTATTTTCATGATCTTGCGTATACTGTGTATATTTGTTTTCATATGTATTTATTCTGAATAGATGCTGCTTTTACATCTGTCTCTTTTAGTAGAGCTTCACCTGCCTGTGGAAGCTGCAATATTATCTGCACATTTTTCAATAATCAAGCAGGTTTTACGTTATGCACTTAGAATATTCATGATTTTTATGCCTTATCGTATATTTAAAATAGATATGAACCATTTGTATAGTATTTTTTCAGGCTGCATATTGATTTAAAAGCATCTCTACATGTAGTGGCTTTAGATGTGTAAAAGCTGAAAATGTCTTGTGGTCATAAAATAAGTAAAAAGTCAGACTCTACCATATGAAACTGGCTCTTCCTGCATTTCATCCGGTTTGAAAAAATCACATCAGCTTTTGATGGATGGCTGCGTCAGCCGGCGCCGAGTCACCGCTGCTGCTCTCTCCGGTGATTAACCATTTTAACTGATGACAACTGTGACTTTCGGGTTGACAATGTTTATCTTAACCCCCCCATTTTGTCCTGAAAGCTCCGCTGAGCTCCCTTCCTGCGACACACACCCAGCGGGCAGCCGTCCAGGCCAGAAGCTGACAGGTTGATTTGCCTCTCGGACACTCGGAGTGCATTTCAAACATCATCCGACGCCTCGCGAACAGGTTGAGATTGGATTCTTAAGAGGAGTGGGGGGAAAAGGTTTGACGTTCTGGAATAATTTCCACAGTTTTGCTTCAGCCTTCTTCAGATAAAACGAAAAAAAAAACCAGCATTTTGCATCGTTTAAAATGTGTTGTGTAACCTTGAGACAGAATTAGGAGTTTTAGATGGGACTCCATGACCCTCCAGTCAAAGGCTTTAATTTAAACACAAAAACAAAGTCATGGTCATGAGTGTTTGAAGCAGACAAAATGCATTAAATATAAAACTACATTTCTTTTATACATCTTGTATTCATGAGCTTCTTACATCTTGCCAAGGCCAGTGAGCAAAAAAAAAAAAAAATCTGTGGGGCTATTTATCACGTTTGAGTGTTTGCGCTTTTGTTGTGAAATGAGACA